TGTCGCGGACTGCTGGTCTCCTCTTTTTTTTTTTTTTTTTGGAGAGGTTTTCCTATAGGGCGCATGTGCTCGCCAGACAGACAGACAGAGACAGAGAAACAGAAAGCGAGAAATCACCCCCCGGGGGAGATGGTCACGCCGCAATCCCTTCTCCTCCATTCTCCTCTCGGGATCTTGGGCACACACGCACACGCACCCAGCGTGAGTTTTAAGCCACCGGGTCCGGGACGCGAACCGCGGTGGACTATGTGGGAGTCCAGCGACATAGCCATTATGCTAACTGCTGGTTCCCTCACATTTTTTTTTAAGTTTGATTTATTTAATATTTTAATTATTTTTTTTAATTTGACAAAGAGACAGAGAAAAAGAAAGTGAGAAAGCAAGCTGCCAGGTCTGGGACTTGAACCATGGTCAGCCATGGGAGTTCAGCACTGTAACTATCATGCTACCTGCTGCCCCTCCCACCATTTTTAGTTTGTTATGTGGCATATGCTAGAGGGATGGCCACTTCGCAGTCCCTTCTCTTCCACTCTCCCCTCAGGATTTTGGGTATGCACACATGCATCCAGAATGTTTTTCAAGCCCTTGGGTCGAACTGCACAGCTTGCTATGTGGGATCCAGCTGCCTTAACCACTGCACCCCCTCACTGGCCAGCCTTCCTTTTTCCTTACCTCTGTGGAGAGTAGAGCTTAGGGTGGAGAATAGGGCTTAGGGTGGCACTGTGTTGACAAGCTGTAAGATGGGCAGTGAGATATGGGTGGTGAGTGGTTGCCTGGGGGCTTCTCAGGCCCCAGACCGTAACTTGGCCAAGCATAGGAGGGTCTTTGACTGAGGGCAGTCTGCTACACTGGCATAGAGTCTTCCAGTGGGAAAAGGCGGGACTGGTGGAGCCAATGCTGGATCTGCAGCCCAGCCCCTGGGATTGAGTTTCTCCTCTGCCTCTCTATTCTCCATCCTCTCTTGTTTCATCCCTTTGAGCCTGTTTCCTTATCTGTAAAAGAAGGTGGTGTTTTCTGCCCTGAGAATAATGTTTGTGGAAGTACTTTGCAAGCTGTGTCTCAGTGTTGTCTCAAACCCAAATTCCCAGAGAAAAAGATGGATGCTCTAAAACCTGTCCATGATTGGCAGGGAGGAGTTCTGTCTGGATTCCAGCCTTATGAAGGTAGTCTGTCTTTTTCTGTTTGTTGTTTGCTCCAGGAAGGTAAGAAATGGAATCTAGCCTCCTTTTCAGCATAACACTCAGCCAGAACACAGGTAATAACTGCTGTTGGTAGAATGGTAGCATAATCCCTTTGAGTTCCTGGTATCTGGACTTTTTAACCTTCCGGTTGCTTGAGATACGAGTTAAGCAGTGTCATTCCTTGGAAAATCGAGGGTAGAATTTATCCTGAGAAACTCCTAGCAGCTGGTTTTTCAACTCACTCAGAATGTTTGTCACTCTGAGTACCTTTTCCTAGGGTCAGTCAGTGCCACAGTGTAATTGAGGGTTGTCAAAACCTCTCTCTGGTGAGCTCAGGAAAAGCAGGGGTAGAGGTCAGAAGAGGCCATGTTGGTGGGGCCAGCAGGTAGCTTGGTGGTTAAGGGCACTTGACTCCCACATGACTGACCACAGTTCGAGTCCCTGACCTGATGGCTTGCTTTCTCACTTTCTCTCTCTCTCTGTCTCTCTGTCTCTCTCTGGTCAAATAAAAATAAATAAAGTTTAAAAAATAAAGTTAAATAAAATAATTCTTTTTAAAATTATTTATTTTTTTAAAAATTTAATCGCTCATTTATTTTAATTTGACTGGAGAGAGACACAGAGAGAGAGAGAAAGAGGGAAAGTGAGAAAGCAAGCCACTCGTTCTGGGGCTTGAACCATGTTCTGCCACATGGGAATGTACAGCACAACAGGGCTCTGCACAAGGTCCACCTCCAGCCTCAGCCAGCCCGGATCATGGCACATGTGCACATCTTGTGTGTAGGGGGAGGCCCTGGGCTGCAAACCTGGGACCTCCTCATGTGGTCCAGTTGCATTACCATTGCACACACTCTGGCCTGAGCACATGCCATTATTAGCCTTCATGGGGTTAATGTCCCCAAGGATATATGAAGTACCTCACTCATCAGACCAGAAAAGGAAACTCAGAGAAGGACTGTGCCTTGTCCTAGGACCTGTAGGGTATGAAGAGCAGAAAGGCTTTGTATGAGGTTCAGACTGGCTCCAGAGCCTGACTCTTGCCCTGTGTTACCCAGTCTTATGGGAGAATAAGAGACTCCATTTAGGCCTTAGAGAATTCCATGTCAGCCTTAAACAGGATCTAATCTAGATGCAGGTGTGAGCAATTTGCCATTTGCCCCTCTGTGCAAGAAGAGCCTCCCTTTGCTCCTCCCTGCTGCCTATGTGTCCACAGCTTGGTCTTGCTGACCACATGTTGGTGTTGCCACTGTCCTGACATGAACTACTTGGGGCACATCACTCTCTGCAAGCCAGAACACCCTGGCCCTAGCTTGGCAACAGGACCCAGCTCCCACAGGGGCTGCCCTGACCAGGCCTTTGTCTTCTGAAGCTGCAAGAAACCAAAAAGGCTTTGAAGAAACTTAGAAATAGCTGTCAGCTGCTACCTCAGGTGCCATTTCTTCCCTGAAGCTGCCTTAAATGTGTCTGACACTGGGTGTTTGCTCAGGAGTGTGTAAGTGAACGTTTACTAGGCACCTGCTGGGGCAGCCTCTGCTGCAGGCACTGTCACCTCTCTCCCTAGGTCCTCACAGTGGCCTGGGGCCAGAAGGTTGGTATCTTTCCTGAAAGGACGCCGAGAAGTCTAGTGACATCCCAAGGGATCATCATTAGGAAATGGTGTCACATGCTTGGAAATTTCCTGCTCTTCCCTCATGATGTGGGTGGCAGCCACCATAGCCTCTGGGCCAGGCTTGCGGATACAGGGACCCTTCGGTTCCTCAGAAGGAAAGTCAAGTCTTTGGTTGGCCAAAGCACTTTCAGTCAACATTGCTTTTTCCTCTTGCAGAGAAAGTCGAGCAAAGCAAAAGAGAAGAAGCAGAAGCGGCTGGAGGAGAGAGCAGCAATGGATGCCGTCTGTGCCAAAGTGGATGCTGCCAACAGGGTGACTTTCCCCTTCTCCCCATCTCTGCCTCCTGGAATTTCAGCTTGATTTTTAATTTGACTTCTTTTGGCGCCACCCTGTGGCAGATTTATGGTACTCCCCCACATGTGGCTCCTTGGAAATGAGCGCAGTCCCTCAGGCTGTGAGAGTTGGGGGAGGTGATAGCTGTTGGCCTAGGTGTTTATGGAATTCTTTGTGCCAATGGAAGTAACTGCTTCTCTGGATCGCCTTCCTTACTGAGGAAGAAGGGCTAGAGAAATTTTTGTTGGGAGTTCGAGTTTGCATTTGGGGAGGAAACCTCTCTGATTAAGAGAAATATGGTATGCAGTTTTCTCATTCTTTCCTTCAAATGTTTATTGATTGATTACTATACTGAAGGCTGTGCTGTGGGCCAGGGGCTGCAGTGGCTTGGTCCTCAAGGGGCTGCAGTCAGGAGATGAGGGCAGTGAATCTGAGTACCAAATGGATGGACTGGGAGCAATCTGGTAGCCTTGGCTTTCAAACTGAACCTGAGACGTCCTGGCCATCCTCCTTGCCCTCATTCCATAGCCTACTTTTTTGTTGTTCTTTTCACCCACTTATAGTAAACACTCTGTTTTCATAAGGATGCGCTGGGGGCATTTGGGTCTTGACCAGGTTAGGTTAGTTGGAGGCTTCGTCTTAGAAGTGTGCAGAGGCCAGCAGGTGGTGTGTGATTAAGCAGCTGGACTCCCGCATGGCCAAGCGTGGTTTGAGTTCCAGACCTGGCAGCTTGAAAATCACTCTGAGTATGTATGCATGTGTGCCCAAAATCCTGAGGGGAGAATGGAAAAGAAGGGATTGCAGAGATCCCTCAGGTGGGCGATTTCTCACACACACACACACACCCGCAAGGGCATATGCCTTATGGCAAAAGCCTTAACAACATCAATAAAAAGTGCACAAATGCATTGCATGGCCTCTGTGGCCTGGGCTGGCTACACTGTGATCAGGGATTATGCCCATAGGCCAGTGAAGTCCTCTCTTACCCTGTGGGCTAGAGCTCAGCTTAACTCTCGAAGGCTTCCTTCTCAAAGCCTTCTTCATACATGTGATTTCCATGCTCAGCATAATGAAGGCTGCTTCTGGGGCTGGGAACTGGACCCCTGATGTGGGTCCCTACAGTGTTGTACTCCCAGACAAGAGGGCTTTTGGGCCAGGAACTGCACCTCCATCACACATATCTGTGCTGCTCCTGTTTTCTTTCCCTCCACAGCTTGGAGACCCTCTAGAGGCTTTTCCAGTGTTTAAGAAATATGATCGAAACGGGTGAGTTGTATTTAGCATCCTAACTAGTATCTCCCAAGTGTCTTCCAGAATTCACCTTCCCAGAGTAGGCTTCTTCAGACCCAAATTTCCTCATTCATCTTTGTTATTAAAAAAAACAGGGACCAGCAGTTAGCATAATGGCTATGCCACTGGACTCCCACGTAGTCGACCGCGGTTTGAGTCTCGGACCGGTGGCTTAAACTCACACCAGGCGCGTGTGTGTGCGCGCCCGCCCAAGATCTCAAGAGGAGAATAGAGGAGAAGGGATTGCGGCGTGGCCATCTCCCCTGGGGGGTGATTTCTCGCTTTCTATCTCTCTGTCTCTCTCTGTCTGTCTGGCGAGCGCACGCACCCTAGAGCAAAAACCTCTCAAAAAAAAACACACACACAGAACAACAGAAACTGTGACTAGTGCATTTCGTTGGTATAAAGTTCCCTAGTTAGAGTGACAGAGGAATCTGTAAATGAGCAAATATTACACTTAATCTCACTGATGTCTTTTTAGGACTTGCTATTCTCTGCATATAAAAAAAGCAATGCTGGGGCCGGCAGGTGGAGTGGTGGTTAAGGTGCTGAACTCTCACGTTGCCAACCATGGTTCAAGTCTCAGACCTGGTGACTTGCTCTCTCACTTTGTCTCTCTCTGTCTCTCCTTTGCTCCTCAAATTAAAAAGTAACAATAAGAAAAAGAAATAAATTTTTTAAATGGTGCTGAAACAAAGTAGTACCTGGTATGCTATTTTAATGAACAAGATAAACAAATGCAGATATGTGAATTATGAGACAGGAAATGTTATATTTGCCTTTCATAAATGCATCTGAATTCATAATATCACATTCGTTTATTATTCTTCCCGTGTGTAATCTTCCTGTGTATTACAGTTTCCTGGTAGCCTTGTCGTTCAACTTCTGTGACATCATGTGACATAGTTCAGAGATCTTTGTTATGATTATCTCTTAGTGTTTCCATATTCTGCATCCTCACAGACTCCTGGAAGTTTAGGACTATTCCGAAGCTGGCAGTGTGGACTCTGGGCTCCTTTGGTGCCTTGCATTTTGTGTAATGCTTATGACTGTGATCCTACTTTCATGCACTTGGGTCAGTGGAGAATCAATACCTGTAGACCAGCCTTCAGACAGTACTGTAGCTGAGACAGATGCCACGCTGCGTCTGAGCAGCTCTGACTGCTGTGTGTTTGGTGCTTGTAAAGGAAGTAAGACCTTCAAGGGCAGGGAGGTCTGAGTTTACAAGGCTAGGCTACGCACAGCTCACATGGCCACCAGCAGAAGTGACAGTGGGTTCCAGTGGGAGCATCTGAGGGCCTTATCAGGACCCCGAGAGATACTGATACAGGAGCCCTTCAGCCGCTTGTTGACTTCAATCCTTGCGGAATGTGATGCTACTTACAGAACGTGATTGCACAGATGGGCAGAGGAGCTTAACTGTATTTTACTTAAATTCCACTTAGAAACAGGTGACTTAATGCATATAGCATTTGCTAGTGTAAGAAAGCAGCGTTGGGGAACCAGCAGTTAGCGTAACGGCTATGTCGCTGGACTCCCACGTAGTCGACCACGGTTCGCGTCCCGGACCCGGTGGCTTAAAACTCACGCCGGGCGCATGTGTGTGCATGCCCAAGATCCCGAGAGGAGAATGGAGGAGAAGGGATTGCGGCGTGACCATCTCCCCTGGGGGGTGATTTCTCGCTTTCTGTCTCTATGTCTCTCTCTGTCTGTCTGGCGAATGCACGCGCCCTATAGCGAAAAAAAAGAAAAAAAATAGAAAAAAGAAAGAAAGCAGTGTTGGGTTGGATCTGTTCCAGCCTGTTTGATCAGCTAAGAGTACCCAGAGTACCCGCCGTGCTCACAGAGAATAGAGGTAGGCTGGACTCCTGGGGTGGATGTGGGGAAGTTGAGACATGGTCTTCTTGAAGGGCCCAAGGTCACCCAGCTGGTTTTGAAGACAAGACTGGAAGATAAGAGGGAAGAGGTCCCATGGGAGCCTGTAAGGAGTCAGTTCAGAAATTAAAGCAACAGGAAAAACGCCTAAGGGCAGGAACTAAGGAACAAAGAAGACACAAGTGTTTATAATGAAGTACAGGAGAGATCAGGAGGGTAGGAGAAAAGCAAAGAGATAGCAGGGAGGGAAAAAAACATTCACAGAGTGCCAAGTCTGATAAGGACAGTGGCTTTGTGGTTAGGGTGGTGGGCCCAGTGATGACCGTTGTTAATCTTGGCCCTAAAACACTTAGTTCCTGCCCAGGCACCTTCTCTTTCATGCCTGAGAAGGCTTGGCTTGGCTTTTCCCTGTAGAATAACTGAGGCCACACATGTCTCCCTGCTAGTTTCAGAGAGGAACAGAGGTGCCTGCCTATGGCAGGAGTGCTGAGCCTAGAGCTGGCTCCTGACCACCATCTTGTCCTTTTTTCAGGTTGAATGTCTCCATTGAATGTAAGCGAGTATCTGGACTGGAGCCAGCCACTGTGGACTGGGCCTTTGACCTGACCAAAACCAACATGCAGACTATGTAAGCATGCCCCAGTCAGAGGGGAGCCCTGTTTCCCAGCCAGCGTTTCTTTCCCAGTCCTTCCTATTTAACCTGCCCTCAAACCGCTTAGGTATGAGCAAAGCGAGTGGGGCTGGAAGGACCGAGAAAAAAGGGAGGAAATGACGGATGACCGAGCCTGGTACCTCATCGCTTGGGAAAACAGTTCTATCCCTGTTGCCTTTTCTCACTTCCGATTTGATGTGGAGTGCGGGGATGAAGTCCTGTACTGGTAGGAGCCATAGCTCAGTGTGGGGTGGTGGGAGAGGAAGAACCCGGTGGTACTCTGGGTGCTGCAAATGGCTGGCAAAACCCACTGGACCTGTTGGGGTTCCAGGGCTGCCAGGGGCTGCAGGCTTCTCTAGCAAGCCTTGCGGTCTCTTCATGCCCCACCCTACATGCTCATCTCTGCTTTCTTCACCAGCTATGAAGTGCAGTTGGAGAGCAAGGTGCGGCGGAAAGGCCTGGGGAAGTTCCTCATACAGATCCTGCAGCTTATGGCCAATAGGTAGGGGTCACCTTCTTGGGAGTCCCCATGTGTCACTCAGTTGGAAGCAGTTGCCTCTGAGACTTCTCTGTTCTTTGAGCCTGCTTGGAGGACAAGGCTCATAAGAATGTTACGGAAGAAAGGCAGCTAGAATCCTCTCAGTAAGATGCCCCCCTCTGTGCTGTGACTCTAGATTTTGCATAGTTGGCTCAGCACAGCAAGCATCTTTTGAGTGCCTGATCTGTACTAAGGTCTTTCCGTGAGTAAGAGGGCTTCAGGGGAGAAGTAGGAAAGAGGCCTGGTTTAGAAGAAGCCAGTT